GCCCGTTGTGAAAACGCCGCCATCTCCGACACCGGACCCTAAGGAAGTCACACTGTTGACCCGCCGCTGGCGTCATCAAACTCTAAGTCCATGCTTACTTTTCTTCAGAGTAAGGTTTGGCGAGGGAGGCGGTCACTGTCGGCAGCAGATACTTTTTCAGGTTGCGGACGCTCACACTAATTACCCCCGTCAAAAAGGAAAATTGGGTCGGGCGGCTGCAACTCTGGTCAGAAAAAGTGAACCTGATTTGTAGCCGCCGATTAGTAGTCCTTCTAGCTAGTCATCAACACCACATAGCACACCACCTGTGCACCCGACACTTCGGTCCACCACCTCATCCTTGGATGAGTGGCTCTCCCGATTCCTGTCCGTCAGTCTCCCTTATGGTCGGCTCCCTGTTAACTCATACTCTCCGTTCTGTAGAATCTCTTCATTCCCTGTCTGGGAAGGTGGGCGTCTTTGGTGGGGACCAATTTTGGAATATGGGGACCAATTTTGGAATATGGGGACCAATTTTGGAATGTGGGGACCAATTTTGGAATGTGGGGACCAATTTTGGAATATGGGGACCAATTTTGGAATATGGGGACCAATTTTGGAATGTGGGGACCAATTAAAATTTCGGGCTCTGGCAAGGTTACACGTGTAACCGAACGCTTTTGTCTCGGACTTCCACCTGACAAAAACAAGCAACAACTGGCCAAGCCACGCTTTACAACCAAAGGAGACCAAGAGAAAGAGTTGAAAGAAAGCACTTGAGAGGAGCACAACATGCCCATTGTCATTGAGGGCATCTATTCGACACCTGTCGCATCCGGCGCCATGGAGTCGCACTCGACAGCGACTCTGTTGAAAGGAATTGGGTTGAAGGGAGATCGTTATGCCGCACGAGCCGGTACATATTCGGTGCTGACACCGGAACCGGGTCGTCAGTTGACTTTGATTTCCGCAGAGGGCGTGAAACAAGCCATGGGACAAGAAACGTCAGTGGGAGATTTGCGACGAAATGTGGTTCTGGGAGGGATTACCGCACAAGAACTAGTCGACTGTGTTGGATCCAGAATACAATTGGGCAATACTGCCACACTTTTGGTCCATCGAAACTGCGTTCCCTGCATGTACAATGAACGAAAGAATCAAATCAAGGGCATGATGGAGGCGCTGTGGGATGCGGGAGGTGTCAATTGTGAAGTCCTCGAGGGAGGAACCATTTCGGTGGGTGACTCGTTGACTATTATCAAGGATTCTTCCGAGAATCATGTTGTCACTGATGGTGGGAAACCAAGCTGGTTCTACGTCAGACCCTCGCAGCGAACGGCAGAAATGGTTCGGGAAGGAATAGCTGGAAAGAGAAAAACCCATGAACGATTGAAAGAGTCGGATCCGGAGGGTGTGGAACGGGCCCAAAAGTCGTACGAATCTGTGGGTCTCTGCTTTTGGCCGAAATGAAGAAATGAATCAATCATTCAATTTGCAGAACGAAAAAGAACGAGCAGTCTCAAGCCAATGTGCCGCCTCGTACCGAACACTCAACATACTGCATGCACGTTGGAAGCTCGAACCCACTTTGAAAGTCAACGATCGACTGGACCACATTCGTTCAAATCAGAGTGACCACAAGACTGCAGCAAATGATGGAACCACTAGGCTAGGGCTCGAAGCAACGAAATGTATCTCTTATCCGTCACCATACCTTCGCCTGGTCAGAGATCGGTGGCGCGGGAGAGTGAAGTCCTGCTGCAATGAAAAGATCCTGCGGTCTCAAGTCGAAGAGTCCTGGTCCTCAACAATTAGTACCGGTATCAGACTCTTTCGGGTGTACTGCTATTTTGAAGGCTTTGCACCCGAGACATGGAGACTGCAAAAGTTTTAGATGGCCAACTATTAGCTAGCTAGAAGCAGCACTGGAATGAGCTACCATGCGTACAGTTGGCATTGATGTGAAGGTATCCTTGCGCTGATTTGTTGCAAAGTGCAGAAGGAATCTCCCCCGACAGCGAAGTCCCGGACAAGTCCATGTGGAGCAGGTACCAGCCTGGCTGCTCTCTTGCGCTGGCAGTCGTCGCTGCCTCGGGGTTCGAGACTAGCGACGCCCCCAACACTGTCAGCTGAGGAAATGCCGACATTGCCCTGAGGTTTGTTGTCCTGAGTTGATTTGTTCATTTAGTTGTTGGCGGATGGAGCGAGTTGCTTTCGAACCGATTGATTTTGTGAGCCTGGTCTGTTGCACCCTCTCTAGTACATGCTACCGGTACCGTTATCTTGCTTGTACCGGCTTCATTCCTCATCAAGCAAGCAAACAGGCCGTACTGCCGATGTTCCGTTCCAAACTCCGACTTGGTCCGGTGCCGCAAGCAAGCAAGCAGAAAGCAGCAATGAACAAGAGTAACTAAACAATTACATTCTTTCCATCGGAGGGGTTATGTTCTACAACCCAGCAGCCGGTAGCTTCCAGCAAGTAGAACCAACGACATACGACTCTCGTACCTTTTGGCATTCTTCGGCAAGAAAAAGATGAGAACGCAACTTGCAAAACCAGAGAAAAAGATGAGAACACTGGACGGAGAAATATCTGCTATGCTGCCATAACTTAGGAACTACTGCTGCCAGCTGTCCCTCCCAGCTCTCTCAGCTCAGTGGCACAGTGCAGTGTGGAGGAACATCATGAGCAGGTAGGTGCTGCCCAAAACCGGATGGTTTCAACTAACTGAGTACTGTAGACGTGTGGAACTCTGCTGGTCTGATCTGGAGCAGCATAGGGTAGCCAGTAGTGTACTACAGCAAGTTGAAGTTAGAGCTGACATTCGCGGGGTGAGGAACCTCAGCACACTTCTTTTCGGCTGTTTCTTTGGAAAGCCCATTGCCATTCCTCGAGAGCTCCTCCCATCACATACACGCAATTCTGATTCGCACTCCTCATGATCTTTCACCTCTTGTAGCAAGCAACCGGTTTGCTCTGGCGAACAAAGCTGGCTATAGGCTGGCTATAGACTAGTCTAGTAATAAGGTTTTGGAGATCAGTGTTTCTTTTGTTGCTTAAAAACTCATTCCCGTTTGATCAAGTATTATTAATAATTTATGCGGTATACGTACGTGGTCCACCAAGGCAATGCGGTGCGGAATGAATCGAATCACTCGGTCCATGAAAACAATGAGCTCCCCACACACCGAGCCAAGAGCAAATTTTTGCATTGCATGTACGCTGTACCGTATCGGTCCATTCATTCGTTCATTCATTGTCCCGTTACAATTCTTCGTGAAATGATTCTTCTGCAGTTTCCACCATTTCCCCCGTGGTTTTTCCCATGACGACATTTTCTCCCATGCTCCACTCTTGCTCTTGGCCATTGTCATTCTCAATGTTCTCATTCTGATTATTGTCACCGCTCATCACAATTCCACCCCCACAGGCACAACACGCTTGACGGGCCGTCGTGCCGTGTTCATTGACATCGTCCCCGTATTCGACACACCATCGTTCCCGGGCATAATCCTGACAAGTCTCTCCGGATTCGGCATGGTGCCACGTCTCGTCGTCACGACAATGCTTGTCGGAAGAACACGGCATGCCCCCAAAGTGGACGGCCGCGGCAGCTTTGCCATGTTCCAACCAATCGGGACTGTTTTGTGCCATGCGACAGAGACAGTCGGGTAGTTCCGACAATTGCGACAACTGCTCTTGCAATGCGATATTGTCCTTGCCGAGTAACAGATTCTTGATGAGCCCGGCAGCCGCCCAGGGAACAATGGAGGGCGATTGCAAATGAGGCGACTGGGCATTAAATGTCAAATCCTTCCAGAGTATGGCTTCGGAAGGCCACCCATACGTCTGATTGACTGGAGCATGGATATGTCCAACGTGACAGATCCAATGGCGCAATGTCTCCAACAAATTTGGAACGTCCGCAATCTGTTGACGGGCTTGTTGGGCCAATTCGGGGCGCACAACAGCCGTGTCGTGATCCAATGTCAACTTACTCTCGCCAGTAGTGTCATCTTGTTGTTGCCACTCCCAAATGCAATATCCCAGTTCATTGTCGCAATAATGGGCCGCCAAGTTTTGGAGTGCCGCACATGCCCACATGACGGCATGAGCGGGGTGGTAGGGATACTCGACACCTGCACTCGAGTTGTTCTTGTCGAAATTGGGTCGCAGAGAGACAATCAAATCTCCCAATATTTGGATCGTATGGTGTTGTAGAAAACTTTGAATCAGAGTCGGATGATGAAACGAAGCAATCCACACCGCTTCGGCTGCTTGTGCCATGGCAATGACGGCTCCTCCATCTCGATATTCTTGATAGTGTGTCAATCCTTCTTGTAAGAGGACTGTCAATCCTTCCGCCAACGACCATCCCACCAATTGGTGTTGTTGAATTTGTGTCAAGTTGGTATGAAAAAAGCTGGTATTGGCGGCCATGTCGCGAAATTGTGGTTGTTCCGTCAAACACAGTGCCACCGCTTCGGCCGCCAAGCCCCGTTTGTGCAAACTGACGGACATTTTACCGCGCGATCGACCGGCTGCGGTCGATGTACACGTTGTCATGACAAACGAGTGTAATTTGTAGGGACACCATCGGTGTTGTTCCACTTGCGTTTCTGCAGTGGGAGAACTCGGCCGAACCAATCGATAATCGCCGGCTCGAAGTTCCTTCATGATATTCACCAATTCTTTGGCACGGTACAGACGTGGACGCGAATCCGTGTCGGCTTGTTTTACCATGCCGGGGTATGCGAATGTTGGTGTCATGAACAACAAAAGAGTCATGATGATCAGGAGTGGAGACATCATCATCATCATGAGACGAGACAAAATGTTGGTAGGATTCGTCATTGTGGAAACTGGAGGAGAGGTAACGTCGAGAAGGATGGAAGCGCTAGACTAGATCGATAGATAAACTAAGCGAGTGGAGATGGAGCGTACTTGCTAGCAAGAGAAGAGAAGAGCAGAGTAGAGATAGATGTATATGATCGATGGATTGTGTCTATGGTCGATCTTTGGCTTTGGTGGTTTTGTGGGTTGGTTCCGACGACGAAGATTGTTTCGGGTTCCGAATGAAGCCGAATTGCTCTCAGCCACAATATCTTTCGCATTATCCAGAACTCTATCAATCTACTTTATTAGAGCGCACACTTGACTTGGGTCACACTGTTTATCGTTCGAGAGTTCAGAAAGACCAGAACTATGACTACTAGACCACTCGACTTAACAACAAAATACAAAGGGAAGGGCGGGTGCCAGTCATTTCTATCTTAGCGTTCTTACAGCATGCAAAAAGTCACTGATCAAAAGGAAACCAACTGACACCAATTATTGCCTTGCTCCGAGTACCCACGCAACTGCCAGGTGTTTCACTTGTGGAAGGCAATAGCCCATTAACTAATTTTGGCCAGTAGTTTAGCTTCCCATGCTGACTCGTCACTCGAACATCTCTTGAACAGCCTCTCGAACATTCGGCGTCGAGGTTCCAACCACCACTCGCCATCTCCCTATTTCACTCAATCACTCACTCACTCACTCGGTTGTTGCTGGCACTTGGCACAAAATTCAAAAAAATCGATAGATAGTACTAGAGTACCAATAGTAGACAGACCAGTTGACCATGATGATGGAAGTTTCCCCTGTGAATGGTGATGCTCTGCTTGATCTGATGAGCCCTCCATTGATGGATGATTCCATGTCCTCTTCCGAAGAAGAATCCATTGGGAGTGTCGATAGTGGCAATCATGACTGGGGCAACTCGTCCTCGGTCATTACCAACAACAACAACAACAACACCAAAAGCAACAACAGCAACAACAATAATAGCAGTAGTAAACCACTCATGATGGAAGGCTCCAAGAGTTCAGGTTTGGTCTTGTTGGGGGCAGCTATCAAGAAGCTTTCCGTCTTGCCCTTGGATGACGATGGTGATAATGAGGACAACACCAACAACAAGCAGAAGAAAGAGGATGCGAAGAAGGAGGATGGCGATGGCAATGAGAAGGAGGATGGAGCCAACCTGGCCAAGGAGATTTCCAAGGCGACCAGGGCGAGAAGCGCCATGCAAAAGAGTCTGTCCGCTATGACTCTGTCTCCTAAACCACAAAAAGAGACTACCACTACTACTAGTAGTGGTGACAACAACGATGCTAATGCTGCGGGTCCTCCCAAGAAGGTGTTTCCCAAGAACACGAGTCGCGTTCGGAGATCCAAATCGGATGCTGGATTGAATATGGCAATGGCATTGGCAGCAACAGCAGCAGCCGCGAAACAGGAGGAGGCCAATCCGGAAGGAACCGCTTCAATGAGGAGCAAACTACTACAGCAACAACAACGACCCAGTGTCCGACTACAGCGGCCACGACCCTCCAGAAGTCAATCTCGAAGGTCCGTGTCGTCCTCCAAGGCGAAGCGTAGCAGCGAGGAAGAAGAGGACGACAACAAAGTTGGCAAGGTACTATCAGACGAGGAGGAAACTCCTCAACCGAATGATAAGGCAGCAGAACCCAGCAATCCACAACAACCAAAGAGCCGCAGCAAGTCTTCCCATGCTCGCTCCATTCCTCCACTGGAAGACGACGACGACTCTCCTCCTGAGGACGACAAGACTAGCACTACCAAAGAAAAGCGCACCAGTCGTTCCACACATGCCCGATCGGTTCCTCTGGACGATGACTCGCTTCGATTGTCGGATGTGGAAGATGAAAAACCAAAACGACGACCCCGGCGACGCAGTAAATCAGCCAGTCGAAAGTCCATTGCATTGGCAGGATCCCGCAACAGTTTGCTGGGCTCCAGAGATAGCTTGCTGGGGTCTGCCGAACTGCTTTTAGACCACCATCGTGATGACGACGAAGAAGAGGAGGACCCCTTGCTACCGGCAACCAATTCAGGCGGCGAGCCAAAGAACAACAACGCCAGTCAAAGAGGGGGCAACGGCTCCAAAGCCAGCCTCCTCATGGAGAAAGAGAATGACAACACATCCGGTAGTGAAGAGCAGCTTGATGATGACGACGACGACAAGCCCGAAACCACTGGCGACAATCATCATCCCAACGACGATGCACCGGCTCAGAAGCGCAATTCCAAGACGGACGGCAAGAACAGGAGAATCAGCGGCACCCAACGAAAGTCCAGAAGCGGGCGTCGCTTGATGCCTCCGACGGATGAAAACAACAACAATAACAATGACAACCACAAAACTGCTGCCAATAACAATAACAACAGAACAAGGAGACGGCCACCACCCCGCAAATCCAAGTCCAATGTCGAACCAGAAGTCAAGACTACAGACGAGAGCACTGCCGAAGAGAAACCGGGAGCAACACTGCGTGCGAGGAAACCATTGCGCCGTGCCAAGTCCAGTGTGGAAATGTCGTCGAGTGCCGGTTTGGACGACAACAATAAGCGACGTCCCGGTCGCAGACGACCACCCAGGGCTGCCAGTAAATCGGGTGATGTAGACGACGCCAAAGCGCCGGAAGGCGAAGACGAGAACAATGACGACAATCACAATGACACTAATGAGAATGCACCCAATAATAAGGGCCCCGCCCCCAAAAGGGGCCAAGATCGACGTCGTCGCTCTTGCATGCCCTCTTACATGCTGGGAAACTACCAGTTACAGCAGGTGTTCAAGAGGGAGGAGGAAGAAGAAACCACGAAAAACGATGAGATTGACAGGGCGTTCGATGCCAGTTTCAGTGACGGTGGGTTTGCGCAGTTCCCAGAGTCGACAAAGGACACTGCTTCCGCAGCGGACAAAAAAGCTGGTGCAGCCAAATCTTCTGGTAGTGCCAAGAACAACAAGGCGAATAATAATGCCGATGGGAAGAAGCAGCGCATGCGACGCAGCTTTTCGGTCAAAAAGATGGAGTCATCGTCATCGTTCCTACAGGCGTCCTCTTCCTTGCTCGGCGCGTCCACTTCCTTGCTGCAACCCTCGTCTTCCTTGCTCGGTACAGCGTCCTCTTCCTTGCTGCAACCTTCCGCACGCGATAAACAACGCAAGCGGGACGATGAATCGTCCGGAGAAAAAGTGGGATCCAAGTGGATGTCGTCCAAGACGACGACAACGCAGGGGGGCAGCAGCAGCAACAAAGACAAGTCCAAAAATGATGATCCCTTCTCCTTGTCTTGGCATGGAAAACTGTTTGCCAAAGCTACTACGACTACTGACAAGAGTTCCAAGAAGAAAGTACCCAAGAGGCGAAACTCCATTGGCTCTGCCTCGGGGGGCGAACCGTCACGAATGCATCAAAGTTGCAACTTTGTGTTCCCCTTGATTTCGGGAAGCGACCACCGTTCCAAATCGAAAACCAAAAGTAGCACATCTCGCAAACAACAACAAGCCAATAATGATTCCCTTGCCATCCCGTCCAGTTCAACCAGGTCCACCAACACTGCCAAACTCGGAGACTTGCTGGACGACCTCTCTGACTACGACGGCTTTGCTTAGGAGCGACGGACAGATATACCATGGCTGTGCTGTTACGCTAGTATGAACGCAATAAGAGTAGTATTAGTTAGTATCGGTATGCCTGCAAGTTTCGATTAGGACTCGTACTTTGCGGAATTAAGTGGGCTGAGGAGGCTTGGTGAACGCAAACGGTTTGCATTTCATGCCCTTCTCCACGGTTCGTACTACGGTACTAGCTAGATTACTTAGCTTATGTATATACAACGATTTCATTCTCAAGGAGCTCTTGCAAAGACGGAAGAAAGCCCCCAGGCACAAAACTTGCTTTAACCAGGCACAAAACTTGCCATCAGCCATCAACCCAAGCCTCACTCGGAGGGCTCTGGTGTTGTTGGTGCCATTCCTCGTCGCATTGCTGGATCGTCTGGAAAGTGCTTGTTCATTTCATGTTCCATCATGATGTTCAAAAACTTGTTCATTTGGCGACGTTGCTCTGGCGTCAGATCCGGGAGTTGCTTTTCGCGTTCTCGGTGTGACCAATCCGCAAAGGCATAGGATTCCTGGAGCTTTTCGACCGCTTCTTTGTGACGACGATCGGCATCTTGCACCAACAGATTTCTTGAGAAATGGAAATAGCCAGTCTTAAAACAAGTGGAAAGAGAACTGTTTTTGAGAGCCAAATTCTCCGATGGGTACTGCATGGCTCACTCACCTTGGCAACAGAAACCCCAACAACCCCACACCCAATGACCATCCAAACATTGCGCCTCTCCCTGGGCAGAGTTCTCCACCAAGCAGTCAGCATACTGGGTATCATCTTGGAGTTCTTTTTACTGATAAACTTGCAACAACGTAACTGGCTAGCTGGTGGCTGACTCAGCGCAAAAAGAGTCGCATGAATTTGGTGCCATTTTGCTGGTGCAGTGCTCCTTTGGGAGAATGGCACCTTCCACGTCAGTTGAAGTTGTTAAGTCCTTATGAGAACCTAGTGCTCTTAAAATATTTAACGAGTAGCCACAATTTGACCAGTGAGAGACTCAAAGACTTAATGTCAAAGTACCAATTGTGTCAATTGTGTGAGACCCAATAAAGCCAGCTTGTACAATAAAGCAAATTTCCTAAATATGTAAAAATGAGGAAAGTAAAAATATAAAACCCTCAGTATTAAGACTCTCTCACTTGTTGGCTCAGTACAGGTGCACATGCTGCTGCTGAACTATTGCGCTACTGTAGCTATCAATGGCTGAGTTACAAGTAGCTTTTATCTACTAATCATTAATTCCACTGACACCTAATTGCATTGCTTCAGAGCTTTATGAAAAGTGGAAACGAGGTGGGGGTGCAGTGATTCAAAAGCTGCGAAAGCTTAAAAAGGTAGGTGTAACTCATTGTAAACACCTCTGTGGTTGCTTTGTTGTCTCTGTAGAGTTGTTTACAGCACAAAGCTAGTTGAAATGACGACCACGTTGTCATCCTCCAATGTTCTACGCCAGTTACGTCAGTTGCACACCAGTTACGTCAGTTACCCTACGCTAGTTACGCTAGTTACGTCAGTCACTCTAGTTACGCTAGTTGAAGTGCCCCTAATTTTGGTGCAGTGCGGTGCAAGGGCGGTGCAGGAGAACTGCACCGGCACCAAATTATGGCACCAAATTCAACTGACCCCGCAAAAATGTAGAATTTTCAATCCAAAAGACAGGAGGTTGCAGAGCAACTTCTCTTCCGAAAGGCAAGACGACCAACACAGGAGCGAGGAATGACAGAAGAGGACGTCCTTGGACCTGGAAGAGGCAAGCGATAGGGGCTGAGATGAATTTGTACTATGTAGTTGTTGGGTCGAGATCAAGCCGTGGAACAATGAAACCTTGGGCTTTGGAACGTGGTGCCTAAAATTCCGTCTCCTGAGACGGTGCTCCTTTAGGATTCCCCCTCAGTTGCACTCCCAAATCGATTCGCTCGCGTTTACTGTCTAAAATAGTGTACCCGCACTTCAGTTGCAGAATCAACGGTCATGTGTATCCTTAAGTAACAGGTTCTCTTTCGAAAGATTTAGATCCATTCGTGGAATAAAAGAACCGTTGAAGTTGCTAAGGTTAAGGATAAACTGATCGCACCGAGCGAAGTCCATCATTGAAGGCGCAGCACTGACTTCTCTCCCTCATTGAATTCGTATGGTAAACAGGAGGTAAATCCAAGCTTGGCCGACAACAGTGCTTTATCCAATCGGCCGATCACTCGAACGACTGGTTCGGTACGAGGTAAGCCTATTATCAAGAGTGTTAATTGAAGGCACAGCGCTGACTTCTCTCCCTCATTGGATTTCTATGGTAAACAGGAGAGAATTCCAAGCTCGGCCGTCAACATTCGAATCGAATCGGTCGCACCTCTGTTATCCAAGCCTCACTCAAGCCATCCTTCTCCGGTGCAGATTGGAAAGCCATCCCTCATTGAATCCTATGGACCGTGGGATGGCAGTCAGTTCTCGACCCATGACGGCCAAGTTGGTGCAATTTGAAAAGCAAGGGTAAGTCGCTGGTTTTCTTCAGTTGAGCACAGAAAACAAAACTCATATCTATTTGTTGTTTTCTCTGCTGCACTGCCGACGGCCGAGGAAATCCCATTGTCGACGGTCGATAGCTCCGGATAAGAAGAGAAAGAGGCTGCCGTTACGGAAGAGGAGGCTCTGTGAACTCCAGCCCTACCAACAGCCTGAACGGAGGAGATCGTCGTCGACTCATTGAAAGGCAACAGCCACCGGAAGAGGCAACAACACACACACAAGAGAGTGGATCCTCCTACCGGATTCATCCCTTCTTGTTATTTCCTACTGTTTTGGTGGTGATTCCTGTGTCAGTACCCATTTTCCTGTATGCGCAAGTCAAGTACGACTGTTGCCACTAGCTATACGGCAGCTGGCTACAATGGCTGGATTGACAATATTCGGTTGTGCATGTATTCATCATAAGGATCCAATGCGAGGTAACCGAGTGCAGCGAGCAAAGCCGAACCTGAGTGTGTTCGGTACTGTTGCCACTGTCATCGATCAATGAACTCTACGATAGCTGGCTACGATGGCTGGATTGACAATGTTCGGTTGTGCATATATTCGTCATAGGGATCCAATGCAAGGTACCGGTAACGGTAACGGAGTGTAGCCAGTAAAGCGGAACCTGAGTGTTTTCGGTACTGTTGCCACTGTCACCGATTGATGTAACTCTACGGTAACTGGCTACAATGGCTGGATTGACAATATTCGGTTGTGCATGTATTCGTCATAAGGATCCAATGCGAGGTACCGGAAACCGTAGCGAGCAAAGCCGAACTTTCGGTACTATTGCCATTGTCGTCGATGTAGCTATACCGCAGCCGGCTACAATGGCTGGATTCATCATGTTCGGTTGTGCATGTATTCGTCATAAGGATCCAATGCAAGATACCAGCAACGGAATGTAGCCAGCAAAGCGGAACCTGAATGTGTTCGGTACTGTTGACACACTAATCGTCATTAGGACCCAATGCAAAGTACCGGCAACGGAGTGTAGCCAGCAAAGCGGAACCTGAGTGTGTTCGTCGCCGATGTAACTGTACGGTAGCCTGCTACAATGGCTGTATTAATAATATTCGGTTTGGTGCATGTATTTGTCATAAGGATCCAATCGAGGTAACCGAGTGCAGAAGCAAAGCCGAACCTGATGGTGTTCGGTACTGTTGCCACTGTCACTGGCTACGATGGCTGGATTGACAAGTTCGGTTGTGCATGTATTCGTCATAGGATCCAATGCAAGGTACCGGTAACGGAGTGTAGCCAGTAAAGCGGAACCTGAGTGTTTTCGGTACTGTTGCCACTGTCACGATGATGTAACTCTACGGTAACTGGCTACAATGGCTGGATTGACAATATTCGGTTGTGCATGTATTCGTCATAAGGATCACAATGGGTACCGGAACGACGTAGCAGCAAAGCCGAACTTTCGGTACTATTGCCATTGTCGTCGATGTAGCTATACCGCAGCCGGCTACAATGGCTGGATTCATAATGTTCGGTTGTGCATGTATTCGTCATAAGGATCCAATGCAAGATACCAGCAACGGAATGTAGCCAGCAAAGCGGAACCTGAATGTGTTCGGTACTGTTGACACACTAATCGTCATTAGGACCCAATGCAAAGTACCGGCAACGGAGTGTAGCCAGCAAAGCGGAACCTGAGTGTGTTCGTCGCCGATGTAACTGTACGGTAGCCTGCTACAATGGCTGTACTAATAATATTCGGTTTGGTGCATGTATTTGTCATAAGGATCCAATGCGAGGTAACCGAGTGCAGCGAGCAAAGCCGAACCTGAGTGTGTTCGGTACTGTTGCCACTGTCACTGGCTACGATGGCTGGATTGACAATGTTCGGTTGTGCATGTATTCGTCATAAGGATCCAATGCAAAGTACCGGTAACGGAGTGTAGCCAGTAAAGCGGAACCTGAGTGTGTTTGGTACTGTTGCCACTGTCACGGATCGATGTAACTCTACGGCAACTGGCTACAACGGCTGGATTGACAATTTTCGGTTGTGCATGTATTCGTTATAAGGATCCAATGCAAGGTGCCGGCAACGGAGTGTAGCCAGTAAAGCGGAACTTGAGTGTGTTCGGTACTGTTGCCACTGTCACGGATCGATGTAACTCTCTGCCTACAGTACCGTAGCTGGCTACAATGTCTGGATTGCGAGCAAACTGAGGAAACAGGAGACGAACGCTGAAAAAAAGCCGAATAAATTCATATGCCCACTACTGGGTCGTCTCCGTTTCCAGAAATAAGGTTGAGGATTACTAGTATTGAAACAGTATTCGCGCGCTCCGCGCGCTCATCCCTTTCTTGCTTCGCCCCGAAACAGCTCCCTCGCTCATTCATGCGAAACTTGTGCTCATTCATGCGAAACTTGTGTGAAAAGCGAGGCGACTTTCATGTGCATGTACATGCGTTGACTGTATCCCGTCAATACAATACTAGTCAAATACGTAGACTTCTACAGAGGCCTCTAAGTAATGCACGCCGGGTATAATTCAAACCTCCGCCCCCAACAGTACCCTTACCCCTAAAGCAAGTCGTCTCCGGGAGACGAAATAAGACTGAAACTCGTCCGTCCTAAAACTCGTCCTATTGCAATACACGGCTCTTAGCCTTATTCGCGACTCGATCCTAGATAGGGTTTGAGTTCGACTCATGACTGAGTCTTTCGTGAATAGTCACTGAGACAGGGTTCTTCATGACCGCTAGTCATACTAGGTCGATGGTGAAACATCGCGCTAGATATTTAGCTGGCGTGGAGAGATTCCACGCTACTAGATAAATGCTAGACGAATCTTCCACGCGTTCCGTTTTTGGATCGTGGAGTGAGTAGGATGCTACCGCAACCTACTTATCACACACTACAGTCTCCCGCGGGAGTTCAGATCTACGATCTTTGATTGTGGATCTCTCTCGTTGATTAGTTTTCATAGCTTTCTAATCCTCTCATGCTTTCATTCTCTCAAACTCAAAACACTCGAAAGATCTTTACACTAGCTTTTAGCGTAGTGCATTTTGTTAACAAACACAATAGCTTTCAGCCCTCAACCTATTCCTCACCATGAAGATTGCCAAAGACGCATACACCAGCTTCGAGTCTAACTGCGCGACAAACCCAATCCTTCCTCTCATCGACCTCGACGATGAATGGAAATCGACGATTCTCGCTCTACCACCTACAAACTTCGCACTGTTCCAGCAGATGCTAACAGCGCCAAGTACACCTTCAAGGTCCAAATCATCAATGGATCTGAGACTCC